CACCGGTGCAAAACGCGCAGGGGTTAATTATTCGAATACGAGAAGCTACTGAAAATGTGATTAGACGTACAGTTAAACGGGAGTATTTTTCCTGATGACGCCAATTTTGAATCACCCTGTATATGATACAAGTTGTTCCTGGAGCAAAACTTGTTGAATCTGGGATTTTTTTGACTACTAAAGACACTTACCTTCACCCAATCTTTGCCTTTCGTTTCCTACGAGTCCGATTGAGTTGTTCAAATGCAACTTTTAATTCGCCCTCGACTCAAACATGCACTTGGAATTGCATCGGAAACTTTCCGGTTTCCTCCACCGACGGCGACGAAGTCAAAGTTTTATTTACCCACTTATTTCGGTATCTAAACGATCGATTTCAGATGCGAGAACGCGAGTTGTCGGAAAGTGCAGATGGCGTTTTTTTACTTGCTAGATTCCCTTTTGATGTACTCACATTTCCTTAATGTTGCTGAGTGGACGACAGGTTTGCAACAACATCAACCGCTTTGAGGAGCGCAGTAAAACTTTGTCGCCGCCTGCCTTATCAGACGAACGAAACTTACTCATTAGAACGAACTGTTTTCACAGCACAAACTAGTGTTGAGTTTCCTTTTCGGGGAAACTTTGCCGAGCAACTGTAATAGAAAACACCAGTTTTGCTGTTTTTATTGTGTTTGCCTTAATAGACGCAATTTTGATCGAGGGAGCCGCTCAATGTGCATTTCCTCTACAAATAGTGAGTAAAAGCGATATGGTTTTTGAGACACCTACCTATGGAATCTTCAGGAGTGTGTTTGTTTCCTTTGTTCCTAAGACATGAGCAGAAATGTGGCCAACCAACCAACCAAAACCAACATTTCCAATAGCCAAACCATCCAGGATTATACGAATGGATGACTTTCGCTCTTTATTAGAGTCTTTACTAAACACTATTTTGTTATGTGTTTCGACCCCGGAACTGAAACAGCACGCGAGGTATCGATTGGCGTGAAAGATTACGGAAGATTTATAACAGTCCCGGAATTAACTGGGCCTGATGAAGACGGATCGTTTTGTGGCCGAGTAGTGAATTCGTGGCATTCCTGCAGTTTTGTTTATTTGGCTGCTTTTCCTGCGGGCGAATCGCCACCTTTGGTTCCTTAGCCCCAACCCGACCTCCAACCGAGCCTAATTAGTATCAGCGACTTTGAAAGTATCAATTAGCTGAAGGAGTACAATTTAATTCCTCCACAAAGGCCTCTAATTGCGGACCGGGTGTGTGTTTCTGACGCAAATTCGTATATGATGCCAGTTGTGCGGAATAAATTTCTTTGTTAGCAGAACGGGAAAATTTAGTAATTGAGTAACAACTCAACGAGGAAGAGAAACTGCTGGTCAATACCATTTAAACGAATCCGGACATTTTTCGTTCAACAGTCACCCAACTGTCTTCTTTTGCATTATGCCAACTTGATCACAAACAGCCAGTGTTTTCTCAGCGAAAAGAGCCCCAGTGGCTCAATTTTTAATTAGAACGAACATTGTAATTAGACTCCGCTGCTGACTTTCCAAGTATTATTTTTCTTTTAAATTGGACTTCAAATGCTCTGGAGAAATTCCGCTAAAGGCAGGTTTCTTTCGCTTGAATTGTGGACTTGGCAGCCAAACACTAACACTATTCAAAACAGCCACCTTTTATTCATCCGGCTGCTAAATGAGATTGTACAGGGTGATTCAAAATTGGGGACATTCCTCTGGAACTATTGTATGGTGGTGTTTTAAGAGTACAAATAATAGTAATTAAAAACTGAAAAATTTGAAAAAAAACTATATAAGAAAGACAGCAACAATGTTTTTCGAGGTAATGTGCCTAATCAACATTACGTAAATACCTGTTGCTTCCTAATCATTGAAAACTTCGGTAACCATAAAAAACAGAAAGCGAGAATAAAATAGAAAAGGATAAACGGTAAATTCAACAGGATTCCTTAAATGTAGGAACGTACTTTTTCAAAATGTCAAAAGTGTCAATGAGACATTGTTTTTCATTGTCATCATAACCTCGAATTAATGTGCAGATAAATAAACATACAGTAAACTTTAACTCCAAACAAATTAGTGCCTGTATCTATTACCTTACCTTATTATGCACGCTACTCGTATTCGGCTAATTAACGCCTAAGAAATAATTCTAGAATAAATAGAGATTAATTTAAGGCTCTCTCCCTCAATGGCAACTCGAGTGTGGCAGCCCAATCGGTTTTCAAAATTTGAGGCAAAAACTAAGAGCGATTCTAAACAACAGAATTTCTTCACAATTTTTAAATTTTGCGACACAACCAAAAATAATTCTAGAATGACGTTTGAAATAAAAAAAAGGCTCTTTCTCACAATGGCAGCCTAATCGGTTTTCAAAATTTGAGGCAAACACTAAGAGTGGTTCTTAAAATACCAATTTTTTACAATTTTTGCATTTTGCGTAAAAGCAAGGAATGAAGTGTGGAATAAAAAAGAGCGTAATTTAAGGCTCTATCAACCCATGACAACTAGAGCTTGGCAGCCCATTTGCATTTGAAAATTTGAGGCAAAAGATAAGAGCGGCTATTAAGATCCAAATTTTTTCACAATTTTTGCGTTTTGCGTGAAGACAATAAATAATTCTAGAATGACGTTTCAAATAAAAAAGAGCGTAATTTAAGGCTCTATCAACCAATGGCAACTAGAGCTTGGAAGCCCATTTGCATTTGAAAATTAGAGGCAAAAGATAAGAGCGGTTCTTAAGATCCAAATTTCTTCACAAATTTTGCGGTTTGCGTGAAAACAAGAAATAATTCTAGAATTACGTTTCAAATAAAAAAGAGCGTAATTTAAAGCTCTATTAACCAATGGCAAGCAACTAGAGCTTGGCAACCCATTTTCTTTTGAAAATTGGAGGCAAAAGATAAGAGTTTCTTAAGATCCAAATTTTTGCAGTTTGCGCCAAAACAACAAATAATTCGAAAATGACGATTGAAAGAAAAAAAAGGCTCTATCCTCAATGGCAACTAGAGCTTGGCAGCCCAATCAATTTTCAAAATTTGAGGCAAATGCTATGAGCGGTTCTTAAGATCCAAATTTCTTCACAGTTTTGGCATTTTGCGTAAAAACCAGTATATGATAAATATGAAATTTTTTCATCCAAATGCGAAAGTTGCCTTGTTACGGCTGCGAGTTTCGACCGAATTAACTTTTTTTTAAATCGGTCGTTTGCTTCTTGCTGGCTCTTATCGTTTGGCCAGCTTGTTTGTGCTTGTGAAAAGCGCATTTTCCGGTGAAATTGTTTCGGAATCCGGCATCAGTTTGTGTTGCAACGGACGTGATTGGAACTGGTGCCGCATTGTACCAGCACAGCTTCATTATGGCCGGAGAATTACAGATAAAAGGACACTAAAAATAAAGTGGCTGCAATGATAAAAATTCCGCGCGTGCATCGCCCTTTTGGCTTTCCTGCACCAAATCGAATTGGTTGGATCAGAGGATTTCGATCGATGGCAACATCGCCAATTTTTCCTAATTGTTGGTTTATATACCATATTTTGCCTATGTTCCTAATAGGATGTTTTCATTGTATCAAAAATTCCTACAAACATGAACATTAATCTATGGTAAATATATATATATATATATTTATAAAGATTAAATAAATTTATACTATCTATCTATTGATATTTTGTTAAATATTTAATAAGCAAATTCAGCCAAAATTCAAATTATTTCATGGATCTCTAAAACGCAATCCTATTGGTTGTGACGTCTCTGGTCATATAAATGGCGGACTGTTTACATTCTGGATATAGTGTTTAGTTGTGTGGTTGTGTTTCATTAATTATTTTGTGGATTTAAATAATCTATAGTTTGTGTTAAACTCAAAAAATGGCTTCAGAAGGATTCCTTAAAGCGTCAACAAACAATTTACCAGGTGTACATATTTTTATAGTAACCGAATTTCGAAAAAACGACGAACGCTTTAATTCAGCCGAATTTAAGGGTATCAAAGCAGCAGCGTAAGTAAAAATTCGTAAATTCATTATTAGTTACTCTTTTCTTAATATACTAATCTGTCTGTATTGGTTTAAATTAGGTAATAAATATATGGAATTTCACTTATTCAACTTAACCTATCTTATACACATGGCTGCTTTCAAAGTAAGATGAACTCTTAAATTTGCATATTGGGCATCACGAGAACAATATGGTGATCGGATATGTGGAATTGAAACGCAAGGGTTCTTTGTGCACTGTACAAGGTAGAATTTGCCCAGAACACAGAGTATGATCGAAGGCATATTCTATCTGCCTCATCATTAACTTTTTGTTCGTAGTTTCATTAAAATGATCCTCGCAACAAAAAAACATTGATTTTGATTTAGGAACATCACGTCTAGCTGCTCTGAACCATAAAACTTTACGTGAGTAATCATGGGGAACGGTTAGAAAGAGTTTGTTTGGAGCACACAAGATAATAATAATAATCAATAAAACATTGATAATCACAATAACTTAAATAATAAAACAAAGCTGCGAAAACAACAAAATAAACACGAGACACTTTGTTGATATGACCTGCTACGTCACAATCGGGATAGGCAACCGACGATATGGATTCGGCATTTTTGGCGAAAAATATCTGATTTGACCTTAAATTCGCTTTAAAATTATTATGAAGATTTTTTTTGCCAAAAAAATTATATCAATGTAATATTTGCCATAACTACTTTCTATATATCAACATTTAAAAAAAAGTGAAAACACCCTATTGGTCAAATACATTGCTGCCACTGCTAAATGTTTTGCCAGTTTAACAGTTTTTGTGGGAGTAATATCCTCAAAACTCCTACTTACTCCCAGGTAAATCCTCCAGGAGAGCACCCGTGAATATACATTACCACGTTTTTTGGATTACTCTCTAGTTAAAAAATTCGCTTCCCTCATCAGTCTGATTTTTTGTCAATTTTAGTGAGGTAAATTGACTATTTTTGCAGATCCTGCGAGGCAACAGCGACACAGCTTCAATCGAGAGCCATCGCTTGAGACCGACGATTTTCGCAAGCAAAATCCGCCTGCTGCCATACAGCATCCATCGCAGAACCGTGTGCCTGAGGATGGAGCTCCTGGGTTGTCTTTACACCGGTAAGTGAGTGGCTGGCGACATCATTTCCATCGAGATTAAAAGACCCGTTCCTCATCCGACATTAATCCTCGGACCAAGTTTTCTTAATGAATTCGGCGCTTAAGTGGCGGTTGCAAAGCTCATCTGTAAGAGTCCTAGTCAAACACTCCGTCAAGACTTTTGATTAATTGACTTGCTGACGGTTTCACTTGCTTGTCTGTTTATTTAGATCTCGGTGGCCGCTCTGCAATGGCAAATTGTGTTCGATTGGGCGTCTCAAAATTCACACAAAGTGTTTAGTGTCTTTGAGTGGATAGAATGGGTTTTTTTTGGCAAATGTAAATTTTCATTTTCGTAAGCGAGTGAATAAATAAAAGTGTATGTGATACTAATCAGTATCAGAACCTGAGTCCTAACTTTAAAGTTTGCGAGCCAATGAATAATGGGCCTCAACATGGAGCCAAAAAAGCAAAACAAGCAATAAAACTCGCATTGGACCAGTGGCGACTAGTAAAAAAACGCGCGTAAGCCATAAAACGAGTTTCTGGAAAGTTTCTCAGCCACTTCAATTTTCAAGCAGTGGACATTTCCGTGGCCGTTTGACGTTCTTGCATGCGCCGCATCTGATAGACGCCACGCATTACACACTGTCCGCAAATTGAAGTGATCGGCAACATTGACGAATCGTGCCAATTCGTGATTAGGTGCTAAACTGCTAAGTCACAACGTTGCTTCTACATCTATTCCAGGCCACGAATAGGGGGAGAGCAAGAGCGTTTTATTCAAAAAAAAAACATTGACAATAATTTTGTCCCCTCCTTTATTATGGACACAACAGTTTCCATTATGAGTATGAATTGAAGCGCTCCGACAAAAAGATGGCTTAATTGAACGCCAAACTGCAACGTTGAATTAATAAGTAGACGGGCTTGTTTTATTAATAGAGCCCGCCCTAGGACGTCACGGTTTAAATTAAACTCCTCTTTGTAACTGAAATAACAATTAATTATGCATAAATCTAGCGCAGACGGCGAAAAAAACAATTTAAATATTAAAAATTTGAGCGAAGAGTGGGCCGACAGTGCACGTAATGTTGCTAAAAACCGGCGCAATAACAACACGTTTTACTTCCACAAGTCAACTATCTAGCTAAATGACAGTGACATTGACACAGAATTTACTACGGTTTTGATTAAGGGAATAGTGCTAGATTATTCTATTCTGCAGCCAAGGATGTTGGAGCCAAGCCAGAAGCAGTTTAGGATCGCTTTAGTTATAATGGCTCAGTTTGCCGCGAAACTTTCTGAAAGTCACTTTCCAGCGATAACATTATCCAGTTTGGGTGTATTGATTTCATATAGCCGGCTCTTTGGATAAACTTCAACTTGACAAAGTTTCGTCTAGTCAGCGCCTTGGAACAGTTTCGCTTTCGCATGCAAAAGAGTTGTCGCAATTGGGCTCTTCTGTATACTGGATTTCCCATAATTGATTGAGTGTTCCTTCTAAGGATGCTTGACTTTGTAAATGCGCTGATTAGTGCTCTATCCAGTGGTGTAGATTACAGCTCTCCAGCTCAGTCTGCCCTACTCAGAAATATTTCATTCATTCTTTCAGAATTTTGGCGTAATCTTGCAACTAAATGTGTGATCTTCAAATTTCCCTTTTTCTGTGAAAATTGCCATTAGCTCTTCACTCACGTTTCACTTACTGAATCGAGCTTCTAATTATTTACCCATTGATATAAAAACGGACCCTGTAGCTCAAATGGTTTTTGAGAAACATTGGAAAAAACGCTTTTGAAATTAAAAAAAAAACGGGCAAAACTCATACTTTTCCTGAATCTAAACTTTTTTAGGACAACTGACAACATTTGCCTAGCGTGCCTCACGTTTTAAAGGTGCCTTTAGTGACGTAGAATATGGCATTCCTGAACATGAAATGTTGGCCTAATCTTGCACCTAAATGTGTGATATTTAAGTTTCGTTTTTGGTGCGTAACTTGTCATTAGCTTTTCACTTACTGAATCGAGCTTCTAATGCTCTACCCATTGATATAAAAACGGACTCAGTAGCGCCAATGATTTTTGAGAAACATTAAAAAAGCAGAGCGATGTTGGATGCGATTTTAAAGTTAAAAAAAACGAGCAAAACTAATGCTTTTCCTGAAATGAACCTGTTTTTGGAAAACTGACATCTTCCAGAGCGCCATTTAGTGCTTTATACAGTGACGTAGAATCGAGCTTTTGCGCTAAATCTTTTCTTGAGAAATGATGAAAAAAGCAGCGGAAAGCATGAAATGTTGGCCTAATCTTGAACCTAAATGTGTGATATTCAAAATCTCCCTCTTGTGTGAACATTTTCATTAGCTTTTCATCCACGTTCCGCTTGCTGAATCGAGCTTCTAATGCTCTACCCATTGATATAGAAATGGATTCTGTAGCGTCAATGGTTTTTGAGGAATATGGAAAAACACAGAGCGATGTTGGAGGCGATTTTGAAGTTAAAAAAACTAGCAAAACTAATGCTTTTCCTTAAATAAAACTGTTTTGGGAAAACTGACAACATCTTCCAGAGTGCCATTTAGTGCTTTATACAGTGACGTAGAATCGAGCTTCCGCGCTAAATCTTTTCTTGAGAAATGAGGAAAAAAAGAACGGAACGCATGAAATGTTGACCTAATTTTGCACCCGGATGTGTGATCGTCAAAATTTCGCTCTTGTGTGAAAATTGCCATTAGCTTTTGATCCACGTTTCGCTTACTGAATCGAGCTTCTTATGCTCTACCCATTGATATAAAAACGGAATCTGTAGCACCAATGATTTTTGAGAAACATTGAAAAAAGCAAAGCGATGTTGGTGACGACTTTAAAATTTAAAAAAAAAACGGGCAAAACTCATACTTTTCCTGAATCTAAACTTTTTTGGTAAAACTGACATTTGCCAAGCGTGCTTCACGTTTTAAAGGTGCCTTTAGTGCTATAAAGTGACGTAAAATATGGCATTCCTGAACATGAAATTTTGGCCTAATCTTKCACCTAAATGTGTGATCTTTTAATTTCGTTTTCAGTGCGTAAATTGCAATTAGCTTTTCACTTACTGAATCGARCTTCTAATGCTCTACCCATTGATATAAAAAACGGACTCTGTAGCGCCAATGATTTTTTAGAAACATTAAAAAAAGCGGAGCGATTTTGAAGTTAAAAAAACGAGCAAAACTAATGCTTTTCCTCAAATAAAACTTTTTTGGGAMAACTGACAACATCTTCCAGAGCGCCATTTAGTGATTTATACAGTGACGTAGAWTCGAGCTTTCGTGCTAAATCTTTTCTTGAGAAATGATAAAAAAAGCAGCGGAAAGCATGAAATGTTGGCCTAATCTTGCACCTAAATATGTGATCTTCAAAATTTTGCTCTTGTGTGAAAATTGCCAATATCATTTCATCCACGTTTCGCTTACTGGATCGAGCTTCTACTTCTCTACCCATTGATATAAAAACGGTCCCTGTACAGATGAGAGAAAAAAGCAGAGTCATGTTGGAGTCGATTTTGAAATTAAAAAAAAACGGACAAAACTAATACTTTTCCTGAAATTTAACTTTTTTGGCAAAACTTACACTATCTTCCAAGAGTGCTACAGATTCTAAAAGCACCATTTAGTGTACTATACAGTGACGTAGAATAGAGCTTTCCAGCTCAATCTGTTCTTGAGAATTGGGCAAACAAGTGGCGAAAAACAGCAAACTTTGCCTAATCTTGCACTCAAATGTGTGATCTTCAAATTTCGCTTTTCGTGTGAAAATTGCCATTAGCTTCTCATTCGCGTTTCACTTACTAAATCTGTTTTCCACTTATCGTCCTATAAAACGAGCTCTGTGACTCAAATAGTTTTTGGGAAACGTCGAAAACCTTTTTGAGTTTATTAAAAAACACTAGAAACCTTGATTTTTATTGTAAAATGTTTTCAAAAATTCCATAATTATTATCAATGCAAACATTGCAACGGTTTAAAACTGAATCAGTCGCTTTTCTTGCGGACCGACCATCAATATTTTCAAATGCTTTAACAACAGCTTCTTTAAGTGCATTTAAATCAATATTTGTTTTTGTAAACTGTGTTTTTTACGGCTCCCCACAAAAAAAAATATCCAGAGGTGAAAGATCCGGTGATCGAGGTGGCCAGAAAATAGGGCCATTTCGTCCAATCCAAATCCCAGGAAATGTTACGGTTAGGTGATTCCGCACTTGGGAAAAATTATGCGGAGAAGCGCCATCATGGTGAAACCATTCCACATGAAGAAATTGAAGATACCGACTCCCATTTAAAGTGCCTTCAAAAATAAATGGTCCAAGAATTTTTGAACCTATCATTCCGCTTCAAACGTTAAACCCTAATTTTATTTGTGGTCTCCGTTGCTCAACGTGGTGGGGATTTGTTGGATTCCAAAGATGTTCATTGTTGAATGTCAAAAAATGTACAGATGTTGTTATTATTTCTTGTTATGGAAACAAATAATACTATTTTCCATGGCCAACTTCGATCAACTAAATTGAAAAACTATAAATTGTTCGCAGACACTTTATTTTCGAAAAAATCCTTACGATGTGATATGTGATCAAAGCAATAATCAAGTATGGTTGCCATCTAGAAAAACCCAAATTTATGTTATATGTCAAAAATTACAGTTATTTTGGAGAACTGTATCATGCCATTTTGTTTGGAATTCAATTTCATACAAGTTTTCTATTTAATGCTTTCCTGTCAAATTAATATCAACGGAACTTGGAGTAATTTAAAAAAAATACCTTAAATAAGTTTTTCCCAAGTATCTCCTGACAGCTGTCAAATTTTTGAAAAATAAAATTAGTTTTTAGTAGAGCATTCATTCAATTAAGCAAAAACTACAATTCTCTGTCCATTTAACCTTTTTCGTAACTGCTATGGTTAGTTAGTTATAGTTATTAATACAAAAAGTTCCAAAATGACGTTAAGAAAATTGCGCTGTTTTCGTAACGCTTTGTAA